ATCCCAGGATGCCGCTAGCCTTCTTTGCAACAAGGGCACACTGCTGGCCCATATTCAGTTTATTGTCCACTGTCACCCCAGGTTCTTTTTCACAGAGCTGCTGCCCAGCCAGTCAGCCCCCAGCCTGTACTAGTGTATAGGACTGCTGTGTCCTAAGTGCAGGACTTTGCCCTTGTCCTTGTTGAACCTCATGAGATTCCTTTTGGTCCAATCCTCCAATTTGGTAAGGTCACTGAATCCTAGTCCTCCCCTCCAGCGTATCTACTATTCCCTCCAGCTTGGTGTCATCTGCAAACTTGCTGAGGGTGCACCCCATGCTACCTTCCAGGTCGTTGATGAAAACATTGAACAAAACTGGGCCCAGGATCGACCCCTGGGGCACTCCACTTGAAACCGGCTGCCTAAACACGAAGCCACTGATTTCTACCCTTTGAGCCCGATGCTCCAGCCAGTTTTCTATCCACCTCACAAACCATTCATGCAGCCCGTACTTCCTTAGCTTGTCTGCAAGAATATTGTGGAAGGCTGTATCAAAAGTCTTGCTAATGTCCAGGTAGATCACATCCACTGCTCTTCCCACACCCACAGAGCCAGTCATCTCATCATAGAAGGCAATCAGGTTAGTCATGCCTGACTTACCCTTGATGAGTCCTTTCCTCTCCCCGGCTGCAGCTGGGATCAGGCCTTTCTGGCTGTCTCTGAAGTTGGTCGGGGGGAAATACCTGACACATCCCCTAGCACCCTGGAGTGGCATCCACACTCCAGCAGGCAGAGGGAAGGTCACAGTCATGGGTTGTTATCCCCTGGTTGCAGGTGTAGTAGCCCCTCTCACTGGCACAGCACTACCGTGCTGCCCCCAGCCATGAGCAGGCCTTGCCCTCGTGCCTGGGCTGCCTTGGCCTTGACAATGGCATGGAGAAGGACACAGCTCATGAAGCACTGACTCTGTGGGGCACCAACTCATCATGACCCCATCAGCCCTGGTGACAGCAGGGTCCCTTGGGTCCCAGCATGCTGGGCCTATTGTTGTGTGTAGGGTGGAAGCCCAGTACAGCCCTGCCCCATGAGCCTGCAATGGGTTGGGAGCAGCCAGACACTGGCATCACCAGCACAAAGCAGGGAGGCATCAACCACCAGCAGGTCAAGGGCAGAGCAGGAAAAGAGCCTGGCATGACTGCTGTGCCTGGAGGGGCATCTCCACGGCTGCATGTTCCAGGGCAGAGCATATGCAGAGCTCTCTGGGGGAAGGGGAGGATGTGGAGCACCTTGGGCACGTCCCTGCCACAGCAGCTAAGAATAGCCTGTGTCACTGCTTTTGTGCCTTGGATGCTGGGAGCACGGGAGGAAGGGGCTGGCAGCAGGGGTTGGCCTGTGGGGATGCTGCCAAGGTCACTGGGGCCAGCAGTGGCAAAGTTGAGGTAGGGCAGGGCCCTTCCCTCACAGGGGGTGAAGCTACAGGGGGGTTTCCTCCTCCCTGCCAGGAGAAAGCAAGGAGGAGTTGCACCCTCCTGCTCCACCCGCTGGCCTCGACCCCATCCCTGGGCGCTGGGAGAGGAGCCAGGCATCCAGAGTCCCATTTCCCCCATGCTTTAGGCAGACCCCAATGCTGCAGCACAGCCTAGAGTAGGAGCCAGGCGTGTTGTCCTGGCAGTGCCATCTCCTGCACCCACCTCTCCCATGAAGCCAGGTCCTCTCCCCTCCCTAGAGTTGTTGCCATCAGCCAGTGCCCCCGCACTCCCCTGCACCCAGCTGCTTTGCTACACCGGCTCTGCTCTGCCAGGGCGCGCCAGCTCCATGTTGCAGGTCCTCCATGTCCTGCTCTGAGCACATTAAGCAGCTGATCCCAATGGCAAGCCCAGGGCAGGCATGACAAGAGGCACCTGCCTCTGCCTAGAGCCCCCCCCCCCCCCCCCCCGGGGGCGGGGGGCCCCGAGGTGCTGGGAGCCGCTGAGCACAGGGGTGGAGAGCCAGGACCCCTGGCTTCTCTGCCCCGCTCTACCACTGGGCTGGTCACACTCTGCCCAGCTGCGAAATGGGCCCATGGAGGCTTGGCACCAGAAGGAGCAGGGGGGACTCTTGTTCGTGCCTGGCCGGGGACGGCCTTGTGGCCCCGGGCCCC